TTTCTTCCTGGGCTGGTGGAGCAGCGAGAGAGCGACTGAGAGAGGAATGAGGCAGACACCTGAGGGAGGGAGGGAGACACCTGAGGGATGGGGCTGAGGGAGGCAGGGCCGAGGCGCTCCCTGAACTTGGTGGTTTGCTGGCAGACGTTTTATTACCCGACTAGGTAACAACATCAGATGTTACCTAGTCAGGTAATGAAACGTCTGCAAGCAAACCACCAAACTCGGATTCTCCCCTCCCCCCCCCCCCCCGGTCCTTGAAAAAGTGTTTGTGCTTGAAACTGGTCCCTGGTACAAAAAAGGTTGGGGACCACTGCTTTACATGGTATAGACTGACTTTATGGGTCAGTTGATGGCTGATACATCTGAATACTAGGAATTCCCCAGCATTTTTGGATTTACAGTATCAAGTTTCCCAGTTGAAACTGTGGTTGAATTTGTCTGTGTGCTGAGGCATTTATTATTTTCATCATGTCTTTTGTTTACATGTTTTTGGGTGCATTCTACCAATCTTCTACATGTCTGTGCAGCATAGGCCTTACATCATACATTATATTTAATGCCTGGGTCTTTAGGTTTGTTTAAGATGATTTTGTTTGGATTATAGTGATATTGAGAAGTTATAGTTGCCTTTTGGTTGCCAAAGATATATGTATATATAGGGATTTTTAAAATAGGTTGTTACAGTTGTTATGTAAATTATATAGTCCGGCACTTTTTAATGAAGTTGTGAAGGTGTCTGTTGTGTTAAAAGATATTGTACGTATAATATGTTTCTTGTTTTTGAGGTTCCAGATACTGCAATGCATTTGCTCATCTTCCTCTGAGGACAATGTTGCTGGTGGACACTATGGATTGCTTTTCAATAATCTGGATTTCTGTTCTTTAATTGCTTCATCTATTGAGGAGAATAGTAATTATTCTGGTGTAAATTTTATTCCTTTACATATGTTATTGTCTCATTTGTCTTCTATAACTGTTCCTTTTTAATTATAATAAAAGTGTCATCTACAGAATGGATCTATATTTGGGTTCTCCATGTAAGAGTGCTATTGTTTCTAAACATCACAGACTCATGAATCCTGAGAGGGAAGATCTCATGGGTGTTACTTCTGATTTTTCTGTATATACCAGGAGTTGAACTGGAAGAGATGAAGCAAAGGATTAAGTTCCATGAGCCAGGGTATTTCAATTACTCTGTTCTCTGCAGAGTTTGGTATGTTATATAGTGGTGTTATAATAGATTCCTTTGCTATTCTGGATCTATTGTTGTGAAGAGTGCTGAACATCAAATGAAACCATAATTTCCTCTTTTTAATAGTTAGGTCCTGGAGGCACTGAAATGGAGAACTGATATTCATTATCATTATTAGGTGTCCAACTTTTTTGTGAGTTCTTTGGTAAATTATATGTTGGGTTCCTTGGTAGTTATAGTGAATCCTGCAGTATGCAGGAAGGTGGACTTGATGAACTCACTTCCAACTGCATAATTCTATCTTTGGTCACCTAGTTGTAAACATATATTTTAAATGATACTATGCTATGCAAATCTGGGTTGGTGTGCTTTCAGATATTTGAAGATAGCTATGAAGTTGCTTTTGATAAGATGGGTGACTACATAAATCAGATGCTATTAGAAACCTCTCTTGACTTTTATTATCTGCAACTTTGGCAAGCATTCCTTTGACTCCCTCCTCTATATCATTGATAAATATGTTGATGTAACAGCCCACTTGAGATGTTTCTCCAGGTACATTTGACAGTATTTATAACTACACTTTGAGTATGATCCTTGAGGCAACTGTGAAATTGTTAAACTTATATTTGATCATTTTCTTAATAAGAATGAGAGGTTTTGTCAAAAGCTTTGCTAAAGTAAAGATATACAATATCCACATTTCCCCAATCAACTAGGCTAACAATATATATTAGTTACAAGGTAGTTATTATGTGTGGGTAATCTGCAGTTACCACCACTTTAAATGGAATGGAATAGAATGGAATACTTTAATGGCCAAGTGTAATTAGACACACAAGGAATTTGTCTCTGGTGCAGAAGCTTTCAATGTACATGCAAAACAAAAGATTAATCAGAATAATAAATATAATAATGATACCAATAAGGTAGAAAAAAAGATGAGAAGGATAATAATAATAATGCAGCCATGGCACATGGGTAAATATATTTACACATAAGACAGTACTGTGGGAATTAGGTGTTCAGCAGAATGATTGCAAGAGGGAAAAAACTGTCTCTGTGCCTAGAGACAGACATGGTGGCACAGTGGTTAGAGTGCAGTACTGCAGGTTACTTCTGCTGACTGCCAGCTGACTGCAATTTGGCAGTTCAAATCTCACCAGGCTCAGGTTGACTCAGCCTTCCATCCTTCCAAGGTGGGTAAAATGAGGACCCAGTTTGTTGGGAGCAATATGCTGACTCACTAAACTGCTTAGAGAGGGCTGTAAAAGCACTATAAAGCGGAATATAAGTCTAAATGCTAGTGCTAGTTGTTTTGGCATGAAAGCCATGTAGCAGCATCCCGAGGGAATGATTGAAAAAGTTTGTGTCCAGGATGTGAGAGATCGTTAGATTTTTTCTTAGCCCTCTTTCTGACCTGTACAGTACCCAGATCCTAAATGGAAGGCAGACTGCTTGCATATATCCAACTAAAATGATTCACTTAACAACTGTAGTAAGAAAGGTCATAAAATGAGGCAAAATTCACTTAACAAATGTTTCACTTAGCAACAGAAATTTTGGGCTCAATTGTGGTTGTAAGTTGAGGACTACCTGTAAATAGATACCAATTTGGTGAGAAAGTAGCAATGCTCTGTGACTTCATGCTGACAGCACTGGCTCAATGGCCTTGAAATGGATATGAGCCCTGCCTCCTAGCAACGGGACTAGAGGAGTAAAATCCACAGGGACTCCTTTTTACCTAGCAAAAAAACATCTATAGGAAAACAACCAAGCTCAGCACACAACTAGAACCTTCAATTCTGAAGAATATATGTTCTCTAATATTGGAAGTAAAAAGGGCATTTGAAAAAAATATTAACACAACATTTCAGCACAATAATGTGGTTATTTGCATTAAGACTAAGCAGTTTAGTCTTGCTCTATATCCATTATCAAACCTTATTTATTGCAACATCCTGTTATTTCTGTCAAACCTAATATTTGAAAAAAGTTAGCAAGAGGAATCAGGTGCGAGACAGTATTTTTAAATAAAAATATGCACATTCCTTTTTCATATAATTCATTTTACTGAATTTTGTAGTTTGTATGCTATTGAATTCCGAAAAAATGTACTTTTCTATTTAAATAAAAACTTACCATTTGGCTGTTCAGATTATTACTGTATGAAAAGCAGATGTCTGTGAGGCTATTGTTGTTACAACATTCAACAGTGCCATCAAGTCTTTTAAAACCTAAGGACAAAGGCAAAGGCAACATTATATTTTCAGATATAGATCCACTGGTCTATAATGTACTGTATTTTTTGGAATATAAGATGCATTCCCCCCCCCCCCAAAAAAGTGGATAGAAATGTCTGTGCGTTTTATACAGCAAATGTTGCCAAAGCTCCTCCCACCCACCGACCCCCACCCTTTGCCCTCTGCCTCCCAGCAATTTGCCTCCTTGCATCAAACAGCAAACAGCCTGGTCAGCTTCAGCACAGCCTGATTAGTACAAGCAGCTGATTGTCAGTAGGATCGGCCTAATGATCAGCTGTTTCAGGCTGCATGGATTGCCATCGCCTATTGCTGACTCTGCACGCCCCATTTTTGGCCTCCGCATGCCCCGTTTTGGCCTCCACGTGCCCCATTTTCCGTCACCCAGAACGGGCCAAAAATGGGGCATGCAGAGGCAAAAAATGGGGCATGCGGAGGCTGAAAAATGGGATGTGAGGGCCAAAAATGGGGTGCGCAGAGGCAGCAATAGGCGATAGCAATCCCTGCAGCCTGAAACAGTTGCTCATCAGGAGGCCAATCCAACCGACAATCAGCTGCTTGTTCTAATCAGGCTGTGCTGAAGCTGACCAGGCTGTTTGCTGCAAGGAGGCAAATTGCTGGCAGGCAGAGGCAGAGGCAGATTTCCCCCTCCCCCCTTGTTTTCCTCTTTCCTTTTTCCTTGTATAAGCTAGGTGTGTCTTATACTTTGGAGTGTTTTATACTCTGAAAAATACGATAATAAGAGCTCAACATCACCACTTCCTGCAGGGTTTGTATCTATGTGTGTGAGTGGATTTGTGTGTGCGTATATAGCAGTGACAGTCAGAAATAGCTATAAGTAGCCATCAGTATCCATTTCCAATGACTATTTCCCATTCATCTTTATAAAAAATACTTTGATATAAAATAATAATGTGTAGGATGATACTAGCATCTATTGAGGGGGCGGACTACTGAGGAAGTTGCAAGAGACTCATTTACAACAGTGCACTGACACTCTAGAGCTGCTTTCAAGTCTCTATGACAAGTAATAGATGTGTTCTGAAATTTATGCTGTCCTTATGTGTTTTGACAGTGCTGTGAGGAAAGCCAAACTCTCCAAATTCATCAGCTCAGATACTGCTCCAGAGCAAAATCCAGAGCAATACTAAAGCATTGGCTAACTTGCTTTTCTTTCTCTCTATCTTTCCACATACATGAGTTTTGGGAGGTAAAAAGCAGAGAAAGGGAGCATTGGCTGATTTATATTTTTGCAATCTCCCATTGGCTAGCTTGAAGGAACGCTGGCCAACTCAAGCAAGTACTCAACACTCACTTGGCAGCTGCCATGTGTTTGAATGGTGAAGCCAAAAACATAAGATTAATTTGCTACGAAAGAGACTACCTAGGAGACCGGAATGTAGGGACAGCCCAGCAAATAATATGATTTTGCCCTAGCAGGCTCTAGGCGTTAAGACAACAGAGAGAGATTTATCTGTCCCACTTGCCAAGGAGACACTGTGCTGCAACAGGTAAACTAAATCCATAAAACTTAACAATTCAGCTGGTAGGTATGAGTAGATATTTCATCCCAGACTAAGCAAATATGTTGAAATTATAATCAACTATATAAGCAACCAGTAATAATTTTGAACTGAAATAGTCATCTGATTAACAGGCTGATAATCTAGTAATTGATTTAACATTTGAAATCAAATGTGTAGTTTTTAAAACAATTGTTATGTGATTATACTAGGCCTTGCTTTGGAAGAGGAATTCTCCTCCCAAATGAGAATACTCTTTAAGACGGTGAATTAACAATATTAATTTTTTAAAATTTGGCAATCATATAAAGCAGGCGATTCTTCAGTTATATAAAATCAACCTACAATATATCATAAAAGTACAATTAGATGCCATCTAGAAACAATTGTACCTCTTGTTGAGAAGCTTAGCTGCTGTAGTATTGATGATTTTATGCAATAGCCCTTTTGTGGCTTCTGATAGATGTTTTCCAGGCAGGCATGCCAGTCTTCCACACTATAAACTGAGCAATCTTGCAGACTAGTGACAAGGTCACCAACAAAAAGACCCCTAGGACCATTAGCAGGAGAATCCTAAAAAAGAAAAAAATGTTAATAAATCCTGGACTGAAGACCACCTAGTTTTGTTTTATTGGCTACATTTTCATATACAGTAGTTCTGAAGAGAAATGAGTGAAGCAAACTTCCCTTTTAACCAACCAGTGGAGTATGAAAAAAAAGTATTTTTTCTTATTATTCTGGCCATCCAAATTGATAAACAGTGATTAGCAATAAGTAAAATAAGATGAATAGCTACTTCAATATTAGTAACATACTCCTGATGCAAATGTGATTTTTCTTAGTATCGTATCTTTCCCATTTTAATAGAACGTTTTTACACTTAACCCTGATTAATTGATTGTATTCATACGTACACCTGATTATATTTCATTGTATCACATAGAATTGGGTTTATTTCATATACTTCACTACTAATACCACCCATATCTTAGCAAAGAAAAGTAGTTGTAATAAACTGAATGATTGTGAAACAGAGCTTTAATTTCTTTATTATACACCAGAACAACTAGACACAAGGACAGTTTTTTCCTGAATGCCATCACTCTGCTAAACAAATAATTCCCTCAACACTGTCCAACTACAGTATTTACAAAGTCTGCATTACTATTACTATTAATCTTCTCATCACTCCTTATCACCCATTCCCTCCCACTTGTGACTGAATGACTGTAACTTTGTCGCTTGTATCCTTACGATTTATATTGACTGTTTCCTAGTATGATTTGATTGCATATTGTACCCTATGACTATTATTAAGTGTGGTACCTGATAATTCTTGACTCTTGATGAATGTATTTTTTTATGTACGCTGAAAGCATTTTGCACCAAGACAAATTCCTTGTGTGTCCAATCACACTTGGCCAATAAAGAATTCTATTGTGTCTATTGTGTGTCTATTCTATTTTATATCCTATCTTTCCACTTCAAACAGTATTCAATGTAGAAAAAAACATTTTAATTAAATTAGAAAATTGAATGGACACTATACACACACACACACACACGAACTGGAATGCCTTCGCAATTTCAGGCAAAGATTACTTCAAATTAAATAATGTGGAAAACCAGCTCATTAATACCGTAACATAAAGCCAGAACTTCACTGAGCACCAGGAGTTCTATGGCCATAATTTCCAAACAACGAATCTCCCAGTATATGCAACCAGCACTTTTAGAAAAGAGAACAAGGACCACTATGTTTGATTATAAAGATGACAAACTATTCTTCCAAAGAGGTGAAATTATAATGCTGTTACCTGAGTGACTTCAATAACAAGTGCTCCTGCACCAGTGTAATAAAATGGGTAAAGAATAGCAGGTAGGAAGAAGAGAAATACAAGACCCACAAGACAAAGCACAAAGTTATGCCAGACACCTGTAAAACCAGAAAAACAAAGCATTTAATGTCTTACCATGTAAGAATATGCTAAACAGAATTTTAATATGTAGAACTATTTTTTATTTTGCTACAATAGCAACTTAATCTAAACCTCATAAATTCTGCTTCAGGAATAAAGCTAATATTAAAATTTTGAAAATGAAGTGTTTAAATGTAACTTGAACTGGCCAGGCAAATGCTCCTAGATAATGGTTAACAGAAGTCTTGATTTAAAAAAATGTACATGATAGTCATAAAAAACTTGACTTGGAACCACTCTGACCTTCATTACAAAGGACAAGCACTGCAATGGCAATAAAAATGAACTTGTATGAGTCTGCCTCTTCTCTCCATTCAAGAAAGTAATGACTCTTGAAACTTCAGCATTTCAAAAGGAACCTTTTGTTGAAAGGGAGTGATTGCAGGACAAAGGAAAGCTGGATCTAAAGTCCCCCTCGGGCAATACAGTTAGGATAAAGTAATCAAAAACCCCTCCCCTCAGTCTGAGGTTGAATGAGCCAATCCACAAGTGCGAAGATGTTGTTAGAACAGCTGGCCTGAGAAAGAGATAAGATAAAGATTCCCAGGTTCATCTTGCAGGAGGCTTCAGGACTGAGACAAAACACATGGCCCTCCCCCTTTATTACATTCCCCCAAAGGTAAATCAAGTCTAGGGCATGTAGGTGCCAGGATAAAGGCTATAAACTAGGGGGATACAGGATTTATGGGAAATAGGAAGAGGGCAATAAGCTGACAAATGTATCCAGCCCCCCTCCCCACAGGAATGGCAGTATCACGATAGGATCTGACAGAACTATCTGAGAAGTTTTTTGAATGAATATGAAATAGAACAATCAGCATAGCAGATAGATTAAAGGGAATGTAGTGCATACTTTTTTAACGTTAACATTGAGGAATAACAATAAAGTTATACTTTGTCATTTTGGATATTATAAATATACCCTCAACTAAAATCCATTCATTAGAATGTGATCCTGGAATTAAATGCCACTGGCAGTTGTGCACTATTATAGCCAAGAATGTGAACTGGAAAATTCAGTTCACAGCTGGAACTACTCCTGTTATATTAGAACACAAATGGAATTTTAAAATAAATAAAGCTAGTCAAAGATTGCTCTTAAATGAAATAAGTATTGTTATGTACAAAATGGTCTCGGCATTCAAAACTTGCTAAATTTAAAGGGAAACACAAAAGGAAAATTATACATGGTTGTCATTTTGGTAAAAAAAAAATTCCTGCCATGCAAGTATGATTCCCACAATCCGTGTACACATCTAATGTGCACAATTTAGAATTGGTTGACTGTTGCCTTCTTACAGGAAAAGTTTCTGACTTCCTAGTTTAACTTACAGCCCTGGGATAACCTCCTAGTCTCCCACCCAAATACCAATCAGGACTGACCACCTCCCTGAACCCTTGCCAAGGTATAGGGTTTTTTAAAAGTTATCTCTTTTTCAATCTTTTTTTGCTGTGAATTATGTATTTTTACTATTTTGTACATTGTTCATGATTCCCACTTCTTGGAATTTCCCCAAATCTCTCAGTTGTTATAAAAAAAATAGAAACCAGCCAGCTTGTTTATAATTATGCAACTAATAATATATTTACTTTTTATTACTGGCTTTATAATGAAAATCTTAGTCAGGGAGCACTTGAATCACATCTGTCTTAAAATGGTGCATAATTTCTACCAGAATCCTAATCCTCTTCATTCAGAAGTATTTATAATGACTAAATTAAATGACTGTCTGAAGTGTTTTATTTTATTTTCCATTTGAAGTCATCCCAACATTATTAAAAGTCAACCTCAATTAGAAGATTAAGATTGTGATCTACAATGGTTCCTTTTTTTCTCTTCTACTGCCAAGACATGAACAAATGCCGAGAAACAATGACTTAAACACTGTTCATACATATAACAAATTGCCAGTAATAAATGAAAATTGTACAATTCCAAAACTGACTGCTAGTAGTTAGTATTATATTACAAGTATTATTAAAATCATTAGAAGCAAAGGCAAGAAGACATAGCCCATTCCAAGACATATGTATCCAAGAAACTCAAGAATCTCTTTCCTAATATCCTCAAGAGAAAATTGTAAGAAAATTAGGGCCACCTGGGCTCCTTCCATTTTCTCATTTTGAAACAGTACATGGAGATTCATATTACAGCAGCAAAATATGTTATATATAAATCCTGCAAACTTTAATAGGAATCAATTACAGGTTGAACATGAAGAGCACAAAACAGCTGTCATGGTAATCAAAGACATGATATATATTTGGGGCTTAATCAGAAATAAATTAAAATTCTATTTCAATTTCATGAGAAATTGACATCTTGGAGCAAGTAAGAAATATATCATTAAAAGAAGAAATTACCAAGAGAAACTAATTTATCCAAAATATCTTAATAGTAATAATATACACAGCTCAAGTATTTGTTATGTTTCTGTTTGGCCTCAGCAGCCTCAATACTTCAGTAGCTTTGAACATATTGGAGAATGTTTGTACAGAGGCTAGACACGTGGTGGCGAACCTATGGCACGCGTGCCACAGGTGGCATGCAGAGTGCTCTCTGTGGGCACACGCACCATTGCTCTGCCGTGTATGCACGTCCCTCCTGCCAGCCAACTGGTCTTCATGTCTCTGCCATGCATATGGGGGGGGCGCATGAGGGGAGCGGAGCGCACTAGAAGGCAGGGCTCATGAGGGAGTGGAGTGCATGCGTGAGGGGTGCGCACACAAGCACAGGGGCGTATGTGTGAATGTGGGGGGGGGGGGCGCATGCACAGGGTGTGTTGCATTTTGGGTATGCACACAATGAGCACTTGGTGCCGAAAAAGTTCGCCATCACTGGGCTAGACTATTGAATGTTATCAACAAATTTTAAAAGTTACAAAAATAAACTTGAATATACAAAGAATGGAAAATGAAGAATTGGAATATTCCACATTGAAAAATCATCTCTCTTAAGTTTTAAGAAACATTAAGTATGTTCAATATGATGCAAAAACCTGATTAGCCCTATAGAATTTGCAGGATATGCTCAGTGTGTCTAGCAATACCCATGCTTTCAGATACAATATAAAATATACTGCAATAGTAATCCCAATCAACTTACCTGCACAAAATATTCTTAGCTGCTGAATGGGAGATATTAGTTGTAAATGAGTAGTGAATAGGTCAACAAATGCTCCAGGATAGACAATAAATATAAAAATTCCAAAGCCATTAAACCGAACTTGCTCTCTAAAAAGCAAAGAAAATATTTTTTAAAGATTGAATCAAATATTTGTAACCAAAAAGATCAACATGCTTCACTTTATCTGCATGGAATTTTATTTTCCATGTCTACTACATAGCTATACAGATGATTTCCTATTAACTCAAGAAGAATGTATTTGAGAATAAACAAAATAATAATAACACGCATATTTTGAATAGCAATTAATGTAATTTCATTCTAAGTATTCAGTATGCTTTACTTCAATTATCTGACTATAATCTTTAACACAATTTGCAGGCAGAACTATTACCCTCCAAAAGGAGTATAGTATATAACCAACTATGGTTTGTTTAAGGATCAAAGCTGTTAGGAAAGGTCTTTCTGATCTGTTATTCAGTGTCTAACCAGTACAATATAACAGATCTGTTCAATTAAAGAAAAAGAAGCAGTCTAAAGCAGGGGTGTCAAACTCAAGGCCCGGAAGGGAGATCCAGCCCGTGGGGTGTTTAGATCTGGTCCCCAGGGCTGCCCTAGAAACAGCGAAGGACTGGCCCGCGGTGCCTCTGCCAGTGAAAAAAGAGCTCAGGAGGGCCGTTTTTGCTGGCAGAGCTTTGCAGGAAGCTATCGCAGCCAAAAGTGGAGGTCACAAGGGCTGTGTGCAGCTCTCCCAAGCTCCATTTTCACTGGCAGAGGGTTGCAGGAGGCCATTGCAATGAATAGACTATAGAAATCAGAATCAGATGAGCCCTGTGATGGTGCAGTGGTTATAATCCTGCAGGCTACCTCTGCTGACTGACTGCTGCCAGCAGTTTGGCAGTTCAATTCTCGCCAGCTCAAGGTTGACTCAGCCTTCCACCCTTCCAAGGTCAGGACTCAGATTGTTGGGGGCAATATGCTGACTCTGTAAACCACTTAGAGAGGGCTATAAAGCACTGCAAAGCGGTATATAAGTCTAAGTGCTATTGCTATTTAGTTTGTTTTCAATAAATCTTTGACTCATAACCAAGAAAAATTAATAAAAAGAAAAAGCACAAAGTTATCATCCTGGCCCCCAAACTTCTCAAGCAGTAGAAGGAAATAGTGTAGAGCCTTGATGGCAAACCTATGGCACGTGTTCCACAGGTGGCACGCAGAGGCATTTGTACTGGCACGCAAGCTGCAAGCAAACTTATCTCACTGCACATGTGTGCGCCGCACAGCTGATTTTTGGCTGGTTTGAGGCCTTTTTCGGCCTCCCAAAGGCTTGAGGAAGGCTTCTGAAAGCTTCTACAAGCTTTGTAGGCCGAAATCTAGCCCCATTTCGTCACTTCCAGTTTTCTTTTTTTGAAAAACAGGAAGTGATGAAACGGGGATAGATTTCAGCCTACAAAGCTTGTAGAAATCTGCAGAAGCCTTCCTCAAGCCTTTGTGAGGCCGAAAAAGGCCTCAAACCAGCTGAAAATCAGCTGTGAGGCGCAGTGCAGGTAAGGGGGCGGTGGGGGTGGGTGGGGGATTGTGTGCGCATGCGTAGGGGACATGGGGGGGGGCACGCATTGCCTTCTGGGTGCTGGATGCGAGTGCAAGCGTGCAAACACACACACAAGTTTTGGCACAGGAGCCCAAAAAGGTTAGCCACCACTGGTGTAGAATATATTATGATGCTAAAAGTGTAACTCTAAGTTCAGAGTAATTCTCAAGAGCATAATATTTTAACATTGTCTATAATCCATAAGATCAACACATAATATAAGTAACATCAATAAAAAGTATTTCCTAAAACCTACAAGGCTAGTACTTTAACAATATAGCTTTAACCTATATTAAACCACAGCATGATGAAACTGAAGAAAAGAAAGTGAATAAAAGTATGTCTTCTTCAACTTTTATCATATTTCCATTGAGGTAACACAAAGCCTAGCTACTGGTTGCATGATGGAGGGTTTCAAATCTTCTAAGAGGAACTTCACAAGGTGCTTACACAATTTCCCAATATGTTTATGTAATAGGGGTAAAATATAATTGTTCTAACTGTTCCTGAGAAATTTACAGTGTATTAATATATGACTGATTTTTTCTATCTTCTATCTAGAAGTCTTCTATCTAGAAGACAGATGGAAACATGTCACTCATAGAAAAAATCACAAACCTAGTACAAAACCACTCTCCAACCCAACTCACTCTGATGCAGCCCCACTGGTGCTGAGCAATCAATTTCATAGACTCTCCCTGGAAGAAAACCTGCACTTAGAAAAGAAGCATCATCAAATGTCCCTAAAAAGATAGCATCATTAAGTGCTGCTGTGACAGGTAGAAAAGTCCCCCAAATCTTCCTAAAAAAAAAATGGTAAGTGTTGGTGATAGAAGATTCCATTCTCAAAGGAATAGAACCAGCCGTAGACCAGACAGTCAATCCAGAGAGGTATGTTGTCTACCTTGAGCAAAAATCAAAGACATGGCTGAGAACCTAACCAAAATAATAAAACCCACAGATTACTACCGTTTTCTACTACTACATGTAGCAATGAATGCTATGAAAATGGACCTATTAATCACTCAATATTGAGTGATAACGAGCAGCTAAGCAAGAATGTTAAGGACTTAGGTGCACAAGTCATTTTTTCATCTGTACTGCTAATGAAAAGACAACATCCAGTAAGAGAACAAAGGATTCTAGAAGTGAATAACTGGCTAAAGGGTTGGTGTCACCAAAAAACCTTTGGATTCCTGGACCATGGTCTGGCACTACCTACACGATGGACTTCTGGCAAGGGATGGGCTCCACCTCACAAAAACTGGGAAGAATGTTTTCGGGAAATGACTGGCACAACTTATCAGGAGGGCTTTAAACTAAAATTGAGGGAGGAGGGTGACCAATCTTTAGAATCTTCAGGACCTAATTCCATACAAAAAAACCTAGAAAGCAAGTCAAATAAAGAGGTAAGGAGAGATGGGAAGGAAGACAAACTCAAACACCAAATAAGAGACATAAAAAGCATACTCAGAGTCAGACATAAAGATCTCAAGTGCCTATATACAAATGCACAAAATTTGGGAAACAAACAGGGTGAACTTGAACTATTAATACATGAAGGTAGATATGATATAGTTGGAATTACAGAAACTTGGTGGGATGAAACCCATGACTGGAACATACTGATAGAAGTATGTAAACTGTTCAAAAAAAACCCCAGTCATCATAAAAGAGGAGGTAGAGTTGTACTATATGTAAAAGATGACTATATCACTACAGAAATGAACAAAATCAAAGACGAAAACCACCCAGTATGCATATGGGTCAATATACAAGAACAAAAGAATGACATTGTTATAGATGTATACTACAAGCAGTGGTGGGCTGCTGCCGGCTTGGACTGGTTCTAGCAAACTGGTAGTTCCGACGATCAGCTGGCCCCACCCACCCACCCCCACCCTATTCTGTCCTATATTTCTGTCTTTTTCAGCTCAGCTGATTCGCGCAGCATAGTGGATTTCACGCACCTCAGCTGCTCTACTTACCAGGGCTACCCTGTACAGGTTCAAATTGGTGTTTTTTTAATACTGCATGCGTGCGCAAAGCATGCATGCACAGAATCAGTTGTTAAACCGGTTGCAGCCCACCACTGACTACAGGCCACCCAACCAAACAGAAAAAATAAATGTACTCGCATCCGCTCGCAGCCAGTTGCTGCATGGCTCATTGCGCCAGTGCTGCCACTCAATGCAGGATGCTGTGTGTCTCCACTCATGACAGAAGTTTGCATGGTGCATTCTGCCATTGCGCATGCGAGCAGCAGCACCGGCACAACGAGCCTTGCATTGTCTTGCTGCAAGCAGCAGCACTGGCTCCGGTGTTGTCAGATAGGCGGCCAGGGCTCAAGGTCTCAGGTAGGTTTATGAGAATTGGTTTAATGTCACTAACATTAACTAACATCAATACCCAGGAAGATACTGGAAAAGATAATCAAAAAACAGATCTGCAAACATCTAGAAACTAGTAAACTAATAACTAGAAGTCAGCACAGGTTTGTTAAAAACAGATCATGCCCAACCAATCTTATTTCATTCTTCAAGATAGTGACTAAATTAGTAGACTAGCAAAATGCTGTGGACATAGTATACTTAGACTTCAGCAATGCATTCAACAAAGTAGACCACAATCTACTTCTTGGTAAGCTAGGAAAAAAATGGGATAAATAGCATCACCATCAGATGGATTTGTAACTGGCTGTCAAACCATACTCAACTAGTAGTCCTTAACAGTACTTTGTCTACATGGGGGGAAGTAAACAGTGTGGTACCACAAGGTTCAGTCTTAGGCCTAGTACTCTTCAATATCTTGATCAATGACTTAGATAAGGGAATAGAAGGGGAACTTATCAAATTTTCAGATGATACTAAGCTGGCAGGAATAGCCAACACTCTATATGATAGGCTCAAGATCCAGATCGATCTTGAAGACAAATACTGGGCCCTAACTAACAAAATAAAATTCAATATAGAGAAAAGTAAAGTCTTACATTTAGTTAAGAAAAACTAAAAGTACATATACAGATTGGGAGAAACCAGCCTTTATAGCAGCAATTGTGAGAGGGACCTTGAAGTCTTAGTGGACAACCAGCTAAATATGAGCCAGCAGTGTGCAGCAGCAGCCAAAAAAGCTAATGCAACCCTAAGTTGCATTAACAAAGGGATACAATCAAGATCAAGTGAGGTACTAATACCACTCTATAAAGCCTTAATAAGATCACACCTAGAGTACTGCATCCAGTTTTGGTTACCACACTATAAAAAAGATGTTGAGACTCTAGAAATAGTACAGAGAAGAGCAACCAAGGATGATTAGGGAACTGGAGACTAAAACATATGAAGAAGGGTTACATGAACTGGGCATGGCTAGTCTAGTGAAGGGAAGGACCAGGTGAGACATGAGAGCAGTCTTCCAATATTTGAGGGGCTGCCACAGAGAGGAGGGGGTCAAGCTATTTCCTAAAGTGCCTGTAGGCCAGACAAGGAATAATGGATGGAAACTGAACAAGGAGAGATT